AAAAAAAACAACTATTGTCGACTCACCGAAGTTTGTTGCCAATAGATTGCCACTTTCGTCGCCCTATGTAACTGGAGATTTTGATACATTTCTCCATAACCCGCCTCTCGATGCCACCTTCTTCTCTGAGGACCTCTTGATCACCGACAGTTGATCAAATGTTGATGACACGATCGACGGCGTCGGGATCCTCGAGGAATACGCCCTATAATATGCTAACGAGTTCAGGCTTCTCGTCTAAAAAAATACAACGGCTAACGTCTCGAAGGCTGTAGCACAATAAACTCCAAGCTCCAGCAAACTTGAACAGAGTCGAGAACTGAATAATATGTTTTGATGCGTGAGGCTTTTCTAGAGAAGAAGAATGTAGATGATGTTCTTGTGTATCCTTTTTCAGCTTCAATAATGTCTTATTTATAGGACTTCCAGCTATGTAGGAGATGATAAGAGGTCAGCAGCCACTAAAGGCATGTAACAACTCAGTAATGGTTGTTGTAATGGGCTTAAAACGGCCTGGTTGTTTTTCAAGTGCTAACTCACCTTCACTCCACCTAATAACCACCAAAATGGTCAGGTGAAAGGTCACATGTCCAAGTTGATTGAACATAGAGAAAGATATGTTGATGGGAGGTTGTATAAGATATGTGTAATTACGACAACTAAATCGTGAGTTATTTGTTATTGTAATTGTCTAGAGAATTCATTATGGTGAAGGAATCAAAGAAATTACGAAAAGTAATTGGACACATATTTCATCGGTCCGTGAACGGGTGCGACGAGAAGATTTGGATCTCCAAGTCTTTTTCATTGATAATATTTACATGTGTGGCTCATGACCTGAAAACAAGACTAGTCGATCCACTCATGATATATATGATGGGACTATGGGGTATTGGTGATGGTTATATCAGTGATGAATAGTGAGTGATGATCTTCACGATGATGATGATTATGTGGATTTATGATTGTATAGCCAAAAATAGGGTGTCGACATTAAAGGTGTTTTGCCACCTAGGGGTGTAGGATGTTGTCGCGTGTTTGTATGAGAAAGTTGTTGGGATGTGTTGGGTTGTGATACCAGTTTTTTTAGAGCGTGATCAGATGGTTAGGGTGATAGACAATCTTCCTCAGGAAGCTTCCGCAGTAGATCGCAGTGTAAATCGAGAGATCGGCAACCCTAACAGAGATTGCGCGGGCCACATGCGGAGTGGCTTTTATGGTCTTGGGCCTGGCTTGTTTACTTGAGCCGAGATTAATACGTGGGCACATCATTCCATATGATATGAAATTTATGGATACAACATAAAGGCCCCTAGGTTTCTAAGTGGAGAGATGTCGCTTGAGTAACCTGGAAAGCTAAAGTCCCAAATGTTTTACGTCGACTTAAAGGTGCTTTACCGACCGCGTGGCGGTTACATTAGAAAGCATGTCGTTACGCCTGACGCCTTTAGCAATGGAATGCGCCGTGTAATAAATGTGTTTGTCTGAAAGGACAAACCTCTTGGACTTCGTGTCTTGAAGCGATCGAATGTAATGACTGGAAGAGGGTGCGTCAAGCATATATAGGGAGAAACTTTCATCTTTCTGGTCATGCTTTTTGAAATTTAAATTTTCCTTGGCAAATTTTTTTTGTCTTGCATCGTCTCTACCTCTTTTTCTTTGTTAGCATACACATTTCAAAATTCGGAGAATGTGTTTTTGACGAGCGATTGATAAATGGAGACGTTGTCAAAGGAGGAACATGTGGTTACTCTGGAGGGATTTTTGCGGCGGTAGGCGATGAAAGTTCCATCGAAGGATATTGACTTAGACGTGTGCAGGGAGACGATTGTGATGAAAGACATTATGTTACTCAAGCTCCGGGAGAAAATACGAGATCCTGGGGTCTGTTCGGATGATCTATCTGTACGAATGTAAGCGAGAACATAAACCCCCCCTCCCCCAGCCGGGAGTGTTGTCGTGAACAAGAAGACGTTAGCATCGGGGTTACGGTTCCTTCTCCTGTCAGTAGTTGATGAGTATCTACGGGAGTGGGGATCGGTATTACGCAAATCCACCCGGATGCTATGATGCACCTAACATCTTTGGTAGAGATGTTCATCAATATAGGGTGGTTGGCACCGAATGTGAAGGAGTTTGATTCCGTTTACATATGGTCGACGGCGAAAGGAGGTTAAGGATACTTTTCTCGTAGTCAAGACACTCGTACACTTGTCTCGCAAGTAGCGCTCTCGCTTCCTCGCCGCTGGCGCCAGATAGAAGATGCGTCGTTCACCGTTGAAGAGGCTTGAGAGAACAAGGTTGAAAGTAAAGAGGCTTGAGAGTTGA